TTTAGAATAATATTATTCGAATAAAGAATCTGTAAGCTCTAACTTAAGTCCAGAGACTTTTCTAACAGCCAATCATTCTATGATCACATAATACAAAATTTGATAAAACTACAGTATAAATAAAGATGTTAATCAGTTCTTTAAGACTGAATCCTGCTGATTCTTTCAAGGATTTGTAAGAATTTAATTTTTAAATCATATAATATATATATGAGACCTAAATCTTTGATTAGTTGTAAGACCTAAATTCTTGAGACCTAGTTCTTTTATAAATTCCAAGAACTGTATTCATTGAACATTAGATAGTATGCCTTTGGCAAGAAGAAATTCTTGCCATTGTCAAGTTTTTTTTTTTTTAAAAAAAAATATATGCCTTAATAAATAATTTATAGTCTCAGTTTAAGTATGAAGTTAAAGAATTAGTGTCAAGAGAATCTAACTATTTATTATGTCAAGAATAGAAATATGTATCAATTCTATAATAATTATTTTAATTGTTGATCAAATTAGAATTGATTCTCATTTTTGTATAATTATTTTACAAATAATTATTATGCTTTGAAATTTTTGAAATTTTAGATTGTTTATTAATTATATTTCTAATTATTGATTCTAATTTTTAAATTAATTCACAGTCTTAGTCAAGAAGTTAACCATCTTTGGATTTAAATATATATCTATAAGTAAGTAAAATTAGTAACATGAGTATTTAATAACAAAAGTAGTTCACTTATACTTATTAATCAACTTTTTTAGAAATAATAAAGATGCTGTTTTTTATACTAAAAGTAATAGTATATATGCTTTAAAGAAATTAACTATCTTTGGCATTAAATATATTATAAAACTAAATTTAAACTTATATATGAGTTAATTCAATATAATAAACTATAATTTATAGTTGTTAACTATCTTTGTTTTTAAATAAAAGAAAATTATCTTAATAAAATAATAAAAAAGTTTTTAATATTTCAATTATTTTTATTTAATAAAGCAAAAACAATATCAATATTAAAGAGCATTAATACTTTAGCATGCTGCTTGTTAGAAAATGTGAAAGTTTTATTATTGATCATAAAACATCATCTATATTTATAGTTTCCTATTTGATAAAACAAAAAGTGATGTATAATTTTGTTACAAAAGTTATTTAAAAATTCCTTAAAAAAAAAAGAAAAAAAAATAGAAACAAATGAATCTGAATCCATGATAACAACAAATTATATTGAATTTATAGACAAAAAATTTGAAACCTCTAATGAAAAAAGCACAAATAATGAAATCACATCTTTATTAGATAATATACATTAAACACTAAGTAATATCTTAATGTTAATTGCAAATAATCAATTATCTGTTAGAGATTATCTTTCAACTTCTGATAAAGATAAAAAATATAAATTATATAAACAAATATTTGACAAGCTGACTACAATATCAACTATTACTTAGCATTTTCAAAGCTTTTATTTTGTAGAGTTTATTAAAATTAAACAACATAAACTTAGACAACTTAACTCTTATAACCCAAATAACAAATATAAAATAGATATATTAAATAATAAACTTTTAAAATAGATAATTATTGATCAATAGTTATTTTGTTAGTTAAAAATAATAAATTTATTAATTTTTTATATAAACTTGATTCAAGATACAAAGCTCCATGTTGCCAGACAATTTTAACATAGGTTAGTCAAGAATATATTAAAAATAAAAATAAAAATATCTCTTTTTTTAATAGCATTTTATTAAAAATTTCAATTACTATAGATGGCTAAATGTTTTGCACACAACAACTCTACTTTGGTATAACTGCTCATTGGGTTAATTCTAAATAGAAAATACATCACATTTTATTAGACATTATTTTTTTCAATTAAACACATACTGCAGCCAACCAAACTGATATGATAATTGAACTTTTAATAATAATGAATATAAGCTATAAGCTCTTAGGAATAATGACAGACAATGCTTTTAATATGATTGCAATAGGTCATGTTCTAAAAAAAAGAATGTATAATGAATTTAGTAATAATAATGTATAGCATTTTTACTATAATGCGCATATTCTAAACATTATTGTTGAGGAAAAAATTAAGTTGGTTAGTAAAAAATTTTCCAAATCATAAAAGTTCTCTATAAGGCTTTGAAACTCTTTGTTATTAATTAGAGAATTAAAACAAATTTTTAAAATAAAAAATAACCTATTTTTAATGCCTCAAACTGATATAAATACTAAATGAAATATTATATATATTTTATTAGAAAAACTTTAACAGATTTATCCTATGACTAATATTCTTGTTGTGAGCAACTAAATGTTAAAACTAAATTATTCTGACAAACAAGAATAGAAAATTATTACAGTTAAATAATTTTTTATTGTTTTAAAAGATTTTGATTCTATTATTACAAATTACAGAATTTGTTAATTCTTCTTAAACTGATGTATTATGCAACTGTAATGCTGTTTTTATTAATGCTTTTAACTCAAGATGACTTGTGCTTGATATTGTGATCTTATTATACATTTAAATAATAATAAAAACCCAATGATTAATACATAATATACTATAGCTAATGTGATGAAAGTAAAATTTATATTATATTGAACTTACTTAAATAAATTATTAGCAATTTCAGCCCTTCTTGACTTTTGTAATAAACTTTCTATCTATGATTTACTAAATGTAAACAAATTATTAATAAACTCTATAAAGTGTATTAAATATACAAACTATCAGAAGAAAATAAACCATTACAACTTATTACTGCACTAAATTAATACAAATTTTTTCAAACTTTTATGAGTGCTATCAATTGAACCTAAATCAGTATGAAGTTAAAAAATACTTTTCTGAACCCAAAGCTAAGACAGACCTACTTTTTTGGTGAAAGGTGAACTCAAACCAATTTTTAGTACTTGTATGCATTGTGATAAATTTTTTTATAGTTTAGTTTATAAGTATACCAAGTGAACAAACTTTTTCTATTACAAGAAACACAATCAGTTTTAACTGAAATCGAATAAATTTTAAAGTTGCATATGCATCTCTATACTTAAAAAGCTGATTCACAGAATTAGATGATATGTTAAAAAAAGTAAGTGAGTCAGATTTCTAAAAAAAAAAAAATCAAAAAAATTAGAACAGTCTTTATTTTTATATATATATTTTTTTTTATATATAAAAATTTTTTTTTATATAGGAGTATGATGACCTAGTAAAGTGATCAGGTTGTCAATTCTCAAGTAAAAAGTCCAGAGTTCAAATTCCAATATTGATAAAAAATTTGAAAAACTTTCTTGTATTATGATTAGTTATCTTTTGATATTAGTTGAAATAAACTACTTGTTATCTGTATTGCACCAACATAACTAACAAATTACATGGCATTTATGTAATAGTTACATGACATTGTCCTTTGGAACAAGGTTTGTGATTATACAAAGAAATGCAAACCAGTATTGGACAATGCAAACCTATAATAAGTTCTTGTGACCATGTAAATTATAGGAACCAAAAAAAGAAAGATATAAGTTGACTTGAAAGACCCAAGTAGAAAGGTAACTTGAACTTTCGATAGTACTATTATAAAAACTAGATCTATAAAATGGAACTAGAACTTGTGAAACTGGACAAAAAACTAGTTTTTGAGAAGAGACTAAATAAACTAATCAGACTGTCAAATCTGTTTCAAAAGAAAAGATTATATGTTAGCAAACATATAAACTAAAGATATATGATTACAACTTGTTTTTTTAAGCTATCTGATTTGGGAACTTGATAGAACTTGAATTGAATACCAAAGTAGTAGGAATATATTGTAAAATCAATACCAGGATTGAGATAAACTCTACAAAAGCATAACAGTTTAATGATATATCCTGATCACCAATGTTGGTCTTGACTATAATAATACTAAGTTAACTATAAAAATAGAATACAGAAGATTTTGAAAAGTTTAATACAAGGTCAAAGGTTTTCTATATGAGTGAACTGCTTTAAAGACTTAATGATCATAACATATTTTTACTGATATTAGCTAAGGTCATTAATAGACAAAGGTAGATAGGTAGATATGAAAACTAGAGTAGCTAAATAGAAAACCTACAGGCAGGTTCCAGGTATGGCAACTAGTGTAGAACCTTTAAATGGACTACTTAAATTAGACAATAACTAAAGTTGTACAAGTGGCTAATTGTACACTCTTTTCATAGTTGCCCCCTATGATTGTAATGCAACCATTAGCCAAATATACTATCAATAAAATCCTGGGTCGCAAGTACTCATCTTAATATTAAAAAAAAAAAAAAAAATTTTTATATAAAATTTTTTATATATATATATATATAAATTTTCATTTTATATATATAATTTTTTTTTTTTTATATATAAAATTTTTTTTATCTTGTAATAATGATAAAACTTTTTGTCACTTTTTTAAAAAATTTTTTTTTGTTTACTGAAAGTATCAATACGATTGGTTGGGACTTATTTGAGGGATTGCAATTCAGGACCGGGTCCTGGGATCGATTTATCATCATGTCAAGGATCTAGATCCAGGACCGTCATAGCAGATCCTAGGGCCGGACCGGACTGGATTCACAATTTAACATCCCAAAGTATAAAAAAATTTCGAGTCCCTGGTGCCCGGGAGATTTTACCTAGTATGGTCGCGTGCTGTGTAACTCGCACGAATAGGGGAATAATCAAATAACTAAGTGGCTTAAATATTCATTTTGAAGCGAATTTACAAGATTTACGGCAAGTACGTGTGTAAACGTGAGTTATATACATCTACTTCCCCATTCTCGTTGCTGTAAAGATCCAGCCTTGCTTAAATATAAAATTCAGAGCATAATAAATAAGCATTACTGATGCGTCTTTTTTTCAAAGAGTTTGCTGATTCGCTAATCAATGCTTAAAAAGCTTCAGATAATAAGACATATCAAGGATCAGTAACTCTTGCAACGTAAAAAAAAAAATTCGAGAATGGCTGTACAACAAGGTAGGATTCGGTTTTGGGGCTCCGATCTTTCCAAATTTTCACTTTTAATTGCAGATATTGTCATTCTATTTCAGATTCCAGGCCGGCCTTGCCCCCTCGTCCGAGTGCCACTAACGAGATGGCTTTTGCAGGATGTGCCAAGACTCCGCCCTCTTGGCTTACTGCGTTGGTACATCATTATGAGGGAGATAAAAAACACGCGCACGAGTTTCTTTTATCTAAACATTTTGGTGACGGGCCCGAGATTGTTTTAATATGCAAGAAGTGTCACAAACGATTTTCATTGACCACATCAATACCAACACCAATGGAAGAGACTATTAGTCAAATAAATGTGGAACGTGGCATGTGTGTTGCTAATCGAGAAAATCATCTACATCATCTCCATACCACAATTTCGACAAAGACAAACGTAGCTTCTGAATGTTGCTATTGCCATTTCACTGTGAATGTTGTGATTCATGAGCCTTACATTGATATTCAGATCTTTGATGAATTGCAAAAAACAAGGCCTATTCCTACGTATTCTAATGCTGCAAGGAAAACTAATGGTGTTGAAAATGAACCAAGTATCCTTGATACCCTCGAACTTTTATCAAACATAATTAATACATTAAGAACATCAGACACTCGACGGAAATTGAATTTAAATTCTAAGCAATTTATGTCAAGGATTGTTTATAATAGTGCGAGGTTAGTATATATCTTTATTTATCTGGAGATTGTTTATGAGCTTTGAATAAATAAGATTTCTAATGATTTTTCCTTTAGTAAGGCCTTTTTTGATAAGCTTGAGTACGAATTAGTAGATGATCACCATCTTATGCCACCAGAGCTTACAGAAGATTATATTATAAAGTCAAAACATGTATCAGAAGAAATTGATATGAGGATTATGGACATATCCGAGAGTATAATTCAATCCCATTTTTGTCTTGCTCTCTTTGGGCTTATACATAATTATGTGTAATTTCTAATTGTAATTCACAATTTATGATAAATTTCTACCATAGAGGCTTCTAGAAGTTGTTTTATATCATATGAAAAACCTTATGCAAAGTTGGAAACGATTCTTGGAACGAAATGTACATCATTAAATTAATCAAGTAGAATTATTGTACTTGTTATTTGTAATTTAAATTCACACTGTTACATTAAATGATATTATTCAAGATGAGCAGCGACACCGCACCAGTTTACCGTTTAATCCCACAACTCCGACCCGTTCATCGTCTTCTAGCTGTACGACGTTAGGGTGTGTGTCAGATATGGATGATAAAATTCTAGAATGGGCTTATACTAAGGCCATTGAAGAATCAAAGGAGAAAATTCCAGAATATTTACAAGCAATATTTGAATTGTCAAAAGAAAGAAAAAGCGAATCACTTGGAAGTCTGGTTGCGGTGCAAAGATCAATAGGTATTTTTATATATGTGTAGTATCGAATAAAGTCATTAAATTATTAATTTATGGTATAATTTTAGGCAATTTTAGTGAAGATGACGTTAATGAGGCTTACCAACTTATGAAAGCGGATCGAAGTGTAACTGATCAGCAACTTATCGAAGCATATTATTATGTATATATATTTCATTTTACAAGTGGGTTTTGATATTTTATACTGCATTCGAATGAATCCTAATTATTAAATTTTTCTATTGCATAATTTCAGACGTCTGACGGTATATCTGCGAAGCACCGTGAGGCTCTAACAATCATTGGAAGATATAGGAATAGTCAATTTATATTGAGCTCTCTTAACGAAAGAGGTTCAAATGGTAAGCGTAAATCTTATATTTCCTTGACCAATTTTTTTTTTTTGATATAAAATTAAATGATTCTTAAAATATAGAAGTCTACATGTCCGATTATTTCAGTGATATGTAAGAGATTTATTTGTAATTTTTCCTTTTTGAGCAAACATTTACATAAAATTTATAATTCCAAATAGGCCGGTCGGACTGGATAACATTGGAAATACATGCTATTTGAACTCCCTGTTACAAGTTTGTATTTGTATTTGCTCATTGTTATTTGTGTAATCCATATAATAATTTCACTCTATTTCCATATTAGTACTATTTTACTATTCGAAATTTACGAGAGGCTGTTTTATCCGCTGATACATCGTCCGTTAATAGTTTAGACAACGACTGGGAGTCACTCACTAGTGGAGGAAGAAAAGTTTCAAAATCTGAAGTTGAAAGAGCTAAGAAATGTACATGTCACATTTAACCGAGTTTTGTGTTGATCTCTGGCGTACATCATTATGAACTCTATTTTTTTATAATATAACAAATTGGTATAGTTGTTAGTCTTTTACGTGATCTTTTTAAAGAATTGATGCATACCCCACAGAGATCTATTGCTCCAGATTTTGATCTTGCATATTTGGCACTTGTCAATGCCAAAAATGACGATGAATATAAAGAGACGACAAAATCACCTATGGATACTTCTACGAACTCTGATATGATCATGGACGATGCAAGTCCGGGTCCTTCTGCACCGACCACTGCATCTGCAATAAATTATTCAGAGATGACTGATTCTAGTTCAAGTCCTGCAGAAGAAGAGGTATTAATGTCTGGCGTATCACCCAACTGTGCAGATCAAGACACATTGTTCCGATCAACTAATGGTCCTTATCAAACGGAAGACGATACTAGTACTTCACACTCATTAAAGGGGAAGGAAAAGGAAGATAATTTTTCAACTACGAAACCATATGGCCCTGAATTGCCTGATGATCAAATTACAATCACTAAAGAAGATAAATTAAAGACCGCGTCTTCTATGTTATTTGGAAAGCAACAAGATGTAACTGGTAAATATTTTAAATTAATAGTATCAATTTTATTAAAATTTGTAGAAAATATGTTCACAACATGTATTCCAGAGTGTATGGATAACGTAATGTTCCAGCTTCAGGCTGCGTTAAAGGTCACCATTCCTGACCAAAATGGCGAGCAGCAAAACATTGTGGAAAGGTTTCCATTAATATTTATATATACATATTGTTATATATATGTATATGACTAAATTAATTAATATCTGTATATTATACAGTTTATTTTATGGTCAAACACGACAAGTTCTTCAGTATAAAGACCAACATACAGGCGGGCTTGTTCAAAATATCAAAGAAGAACAATTCAATCATCTGATATCCTTAATATTTCTTTTTCCGTGTTTCACTATAATAATAAATGTTATGTTTGGAGCTTCCATAACTAAAATTTTAACATAGTCGTCGTTGCTGAAGGTCGTGATTTGTATGATGGGCTTGATGTCTGCTTCGATACATCAACGGTGAATTCATCGTAAATTTCGGTTATGGAATTTTTGTTTTTTTTGTTTTTTTGTTTATCCTCATCAAATGTCTTTTATAGGTAGAATTTGATGGTACTCAGGCACAACGAGATGTTACTCTCACAAGGGTACCACCAATATTACAAATACAAGTGCAAGTATGTGTACCATATTTATCTGTGCTTTTGGTGTCAATAATGATAAATATTAACGTTGTTTGTATTACCGAATACTTCTACAATTCAAATTATAGCGAGTTCAATTTGATAGATCCACATCAAATGTTTATAAGTCAAATGCATACCTTCGTTTAGAAAAAGTTATATATCTTGACAGGTATTTGGATAAGCATCATGAACGCTTGCGAGAAAAGCGTAGGCGTGCTCACGAGATGAAACAGGAGATTGAATCATTACAAACAGAACTTAGTGATTTAACACAGGATAAAGTTAATATATATTCCAATCATTAATTATATGCTTGCACCATTTTGGCCGTATTAAATATTTATATATTTATCTATTTGTAGACAACGTTCTTACCCACCGTTGACTTACTTAAATTTACCAGCGAATTTGTTCGATCAATCAAAGATGATGATTCCGATTTTATTTTCGATGAAAATTTCGATCGGAGACTGTCAGAAATAGAACTAGAAAGACAACGTGTTAATGAAAGGATTGACGGTAATTTTTATACATATTATTCAATTTTGAAGCTTTTCTGATGCCAATTTTTATACAGATATTCAACATAGAATTACATCATTGAGAAATCAATTGAAGGGTCTCTACCTTGATATGAAAGAGTGTGTATATAGATTGCACGCTGTATTTATACACAGTGGTTTGTATCAAAATTTATTGTTAACTGGTGTTTTTTCATCAAAAAGCCAAAATGAAATCAACTCTTTCATCTGATAGGTCAAGCAACATTTGGTCATTACTGGATATATATTTATGATTTTGAAAAAGATCGGTGGCTAAAATATAATGATTCATACGTAACGAAGGTTGTAGTTATTTGAAATAGGATCTGGGATTATTTGCAAATTATTAACTAACCCAACATTTTATATGTAGGTTGATGAAGATTCTGAAGTGTTCGCAGATTTAACTGGTAAAACAGCAAATCCTTATTGTATGGTTTATGTGCGGGCGCAAGGTAACATGTCATTTATTATGAAGAAGCTTGTCATCATTTTTTACATTATTATACGTTTCTAAATATCTTTATCCTAGCAGATGCCCAACAATTAGTTGACACTATATGTCGGAAGACAATTAGTTAAATTTGTAGAATTATTATTAGAGCTTTATTTCACGATCTTTACAATGATTCCGGGCAGTATTATTGTATTGTGAGGCAGAAATGGTTTCGAGAAAAATTTTTATTGCTAATGTCGTTTTAAAATAGTAAAATTGTATATTTTACCTCAATAAAGAATTTATAACTGGAAAACAATATACCAGACTTATCGTTATTTGTGTGCTGCCAAGGAAAAACCTGTAAATCTGGTTTTCAATTCTCTTAGTTCATTGCAAGGTTTCAAAACATCGATACAAAAATTTTTGCCATAGTGTCAGAAATAATTACAGCAATAATATCTTGTCATGCTCTTCTAAAGCTCTCAAAGTAGAATTTTATTACTAAATATTGGACAAATGATGCAAAGCTTTAAAGATTGATAATCGAATTAACTTTCCAGTGGGAATTATTGGAATTGGAGATCACTGAACAGTAGAATGTGAAGTCCCAGCGACTTCTGATTGGCTGATTCGAATCAATCGCTTGGAATAGTAATAAAGTATTTTTTTCGCTCATTGAAAGTATATATCGCTGCTGATGCTGAAATTTGGGTCTATTTTGATATGAAATTTTTTAAAAATTTTTGCTCTTTTTTTTTTAGATTTGGGTTAGGATTTTGGGCATATGTGGATTTTAACTGGGCTTATATTTACAAATTGTGACCTCAAATTTCAATATCAGCCACGACAATAATAATAGTGATAATTTTGCATAAGTAAAAGAATCAAAATTGAAAAGAGTAAATTCAGAGTTCACATAAGGCCAGACCGATTAAATTCTGTGTTTTACATTACTCCTCTTCTCTTCTAGTAAAAAAAAATCTGTATAATTATAAAATAACACAAAGGGGGTATTGTTTTTAATTTTAGTTAAAATTAAGTTTAAGTTGAAATTTGAAATTACATTCTTGTGCATTATTTTGTAATTATAAAGTAATAGATAAAGTAGCAGGCTAGCTCAAACTAACAAATCATATGTTTATATAACTATTTTCTTTTTATAAATTTTATTTTTAAAAAATATATTTTGCATAAACTCAAAATAATATATAAGAGTGTAAATTCAAATTTTAGTCTAAATTTATATTGAAATTTGAATTAATATTCTTATATGTTATTTTATATTTATATAGTATAATGCTGATAGGTTATACTTAACAATTATATAAACAAAAATTGATTATATTTAAATCATTTTTTTTTAGAGCACAAAAGGATTTTTAAAAAATTAAACTAATAACTTTATTTCTTAAATTATATTGCATGCAAATTTGCCTGCATTTTTTTTAAAAAAATTAATTTTTATAATAAAATTTTAATAATTAATTTTAGAAATATATTTTTTAAATAAAAAATATTTTTAAAATTTTATTTTATAAACTTTGTTAAGAAAGTTTTTTAACTTTATTAAAAAAATTTTAATTAAAGTTTAAAGATTGTGTAATATTAGGTTTACTATTAAAATATTTTTTAGGTTTTTTAAAATTTTATATTTTTAAAATTAAAAAAAAAATGCTTTAAAGACAAGCATTAATTTTAATATATAAATTATTAAACTTGTAATAATTAAAATTATAATTTAGAGGTATAATAACCTAGTAAAATAAATAGATTGTTAACCTTCAAGTAGTAGGTTTAAGGTTCAATTTTTACAAATGATGAATTTTAAAAATTATATCTATATTATAATAACTGTTTCTTGTTAATCAGTTAGGTTTTAGGTATCTGTAATCTTAAATACATCAAGTTGGATTTTATTTAATATTGGAAGCTTAAAGTATTTATGCTAAATGTAATATTATATATATATAGAGGAATGTAAAAAACTGATATTATATAAGGCTTGAAGAGTCTGTTAGTTCTAAGTTATAGTTAATAGAAGATGATAAAAAAGACATCAGAAAGATAAATATTAGAGTTTAGATAAACTTTACAAAAATAAAAGTATTTTAATAGATAACTTTAATTACAAGTATTAGTCTCGATTATAGTATTAACCAAGTTAATAATAAAAAAAAATATAGCTTGTTTTAGTAGTTTTATTTTAAGAATAAAAATAGTCTAAGGATTATAATCCTAAGGTTGAAGCAAAAAGATCTGAATCAAGTAACCTAATGAAATTGATACTAAGATCAGATTAAAGAGTTAAATAAAACATCTAAGCAAGAGTATTAGATATAACAACTAGTAAGAAATCTTTAAACAGACTTCTTAAATAGATAATATAAAAAAGTTACATGTATAGCCAGTTGTATACTTATCTAATAATTTAATATAAATATACGTCTAAATAAATATATATCTAATATAAGTATTAATAAAAAGTTAAAAAACCAAAGAGGCCATTTTAATACTGAAAAAAAATTTATAATTTTTGATATAAATCAAAAATTTTTTTTTTTTTAGTTTCAAGAGTGATCTTGACTGTGTATCTTTTTATTATTAGTAATATAAGATTATATATTATATATAGGATATATCAATAAAAGTATAACTAGTTATATATATAACTTTAATCATTATCTAATTAAGGGTTCTGTTTACAGATTACCTATTAAATGTCATATATAAGACCTACTTATAAGTCTTTTATTTAAACTTTCTGATTTTTAACACTTTTTAATATATATATGTACAATATATATCACTATTATCATAATAGAACAGATTAGGGCTATCTAATTACTATTTATATCTAAGTACCATCTTATTAGATGATACTAAGTATCTATAGTCCTTCAAATTTATTCTTAATACAAACTTACTAAGTATGATATCAAGATTACCTCTTAGATTTATCTAATTTTAGTAAATTCCATATTTACTAAAACTGGTTTGATATCAGAAATATTCAAATTTTAGTAAGTTCATTTCTTTTTTAGTTTTTTTTATATTTATTATATTACTTACTAGTACACCTTTTCTTTATTTCTGATATGTTCATTGTTTTTTTTAGATCAAGTGCCAACTCTCCATATTGAAAAACTTTTTTTCGGAAACTTCCTTATACATTAATCTTCTATTTATATGAACTTAGCCATAGAGTTTCATATATATTTATATACTTTTGTAGATTATAGAGCTTTTACTTCTAGCTAGAAATAAACTGTTAATCTTGTCTGTAAAAAGAAAGATACTTAAACTACTAGGCTATGGAATTCTATCTCTCAATCAAAAAATTATATTGAAAAATATAAGTCTAAAATTAATATTTAAAAAGTTTATTATAAATAAACTAAAAAATATTTTATTAAAAATTTTTCTTAAAATTATATATATTTTTTTTTTTTTTTTGGTATTAAGGTGACCTCTTTGGTCTTTTGACTTTTATTAATCACTTATCGGTATTGTGG